TTTTAACTAACAATATTTCACATCACAGACAACATTCTAGCATACTCATCATCACTTATGAAATGTAGCTAATGAGCATTTAGTTTTAATTCTAATAAAACATAATTTTACGGATAATATTAACTTTTAAATCTGAAATATTGAGAAAAATGACTGAACCTCCTCTATGCTTATCAGTTATCAGAACACTTAATTCTATGATCAAACAACTCCTAACTAATATTAACTTAATTAAATACAGTTAACTTCCTACTGCTAAATTATTGGGTAAAAATTATCTATTTAACTTAACTTAGTATAATACTAAATTTTATGATAAAACTAAAATTAACTAATATTAACTACACAATTAACTATATCTAAATTATTCTAACTATATTTATTTACTAATAAATAAACCCCTTATTAAATTATTAGGTAAACATTATCTATTTAATTTAACTTAACTTAGTATAATACTAAATGTTATGATTAAACTACAACCAACTAATATTAACTACGCAATTACTAAATCTAAATTATTCTAATTATATTTAATTACTACTAAATAAAACTTACATTAAATTTTATCGTAAAAATTATCTATTTAATTTAACTTAACTTAGTATGAAACTAAATGTTACGATCAAACTACTGCTAACTTATATTAACTACAGTTAACTAATGCTAAATAATTATAATTATTGTTAACTACACTAAATAAACTTTACATTAAATTACTAGGTAAAAATTATCTATTCAATATAATTTAACTTATTATAAAACTAAATTTCATGATCAAACTACTGCTAACTATTATTAAATACACCATTTATTATTTAAAAAAAAACGTATAATAACTAAATATATATAACTAAATATGCCAATAACAATTTATAATTTGTAAACAATCAATTTCTTCATTGAGACAGGAACTTGTGTTACTGTGATTGATGACCCCGAAAATATGTTTATATACTTATGTAGAACAGAAAAGTTCTTATTAAATAATTATAGAACAAACTCATTGAAACAATAAACTACCTATTACCACTTTTTTATAAAATGATACATACATAGTATCAATAATATAACCTGGCACAGTGATTTCCTATCTTTTTTCCTCAGCGGGCCACTTTGATAAACAATCATTTTAAAGCAGATCACCAAATATAAAAGTACGATTAATATCAATATCAAATAATTATTTGATTAACATTGATAACATTTGATAACATTAATGTTATTTTATTACACATAGTAGGTATACAATGTTCAAGTTACATTGATTTGACAGTACGCTCTTTTAAGTGGATGGGTTATATCATTAAATTTCTATTTAAAAATGCTCGAATGTAAATTAATAGATTTAAAAAAACAATCGTATTTTATAATAATTTTACTTTTTTTAAACATTTTGTTTCATTTTTAAAAAAATTGTAACGGGCCACAGGTTGGGCACTACTGATCTAACTTAATATGTATGTGTAATTTAATATAACAACCTTGTAAGTTGTAAATGTGTATGCATCATTCTATATTTAAATATTAATATTTTATAATAAGTAAAATGTTATAACATGACATTTTTTTCTAATTTATTTTGTCTAATATTCCGTTTAAAACACTTTAAAGTGTACCAGGCGAGATCCCGCATAAAACGCTTAAAGAGCGTAATAGAAAATACGCGGTTCTACAACTTCCCCTTTGAGAGCATCTTAAATAGGTTTTACAGTAGTACCTAAATAAATTATTTAATTTTACTTAACAATTTACTAAAAAAATGTTATACGACCGTGATACAACTTGATCATATGCTCTTCATCATGACTTGTCCGTCCTTTTTTAATTCAACCACCATAGATTTATTATCAATCACCATCTTGTCTGGATGATCAAATGCGTAAAAAAAAAAAAAAAATCGAAAAACCATCAAATTGATTCACTTACTAATATCTGTACTATTAAAAAACGTAATGAACTAATTTTGTTTTGTTGATTTGTATAACATAACAGTCAGTTAGATTTCGACCAGCATATATTTTACAATAATTACTAGTGATATCTGTTACATCCAACATCAATAATTGTAATTTTTTTACGCTTATATACAAATAGAACGAAAATACATAAAAATCTAATCGAAGTTTAACATTTTGCGGTTCTTAAAATCATATGTAACCCGGCCACGACTTTTCCGCGCGAAACCGGATATAATTCAGTTGACAACTATACATGATTTAATAAATAAAATCTAAACATAATGAAAACAAATCATCTAAACAAATCGTTGTATAATTTATCATCAATAAGCGTTTTGAAACGACGAATATGAGAACGAAAAAATGTTGGAAAACGCTGTCGGATACGAATACATGGACACCGCAGGCGGCTTTTCGTAGTACAAAGAATTCTATACAATGATGGATCTAGTATTTTTTAGTGGTGGGTGCAATTTTACTAAAAATGATTGATAATTTATGACTTCAGGGTAAAATAAGTTTAATTGGTTTAAATTTCCAAGAAAATCAGTTATGTCATGTGAAATTATTTTGTTTACTCCCTAGAAAGATATGAGCTCCCTTAACTCTTAGTCACTACTTTATGAATATATGATCCCATATCCCATGATCCCCAAGCATACATGAAGCAAAAGTAAACACATTTTTTTTTTAGTACGGAGACCTGTTAGGTATACCTATAAACTGCTAAACTTGGGGAATATTTTGCCGGAAAAGTTACTATCTAAGCCTTTAAAATTACCTTCAACTTAATTTTCTACTACCTAACTTAACATTTCCAATTTTTCCATGTCCGTGAAATGCAAGACAGTGTCTTGTAAGGTAATGGTAATATAAAAAATATGATTTACAATGAATCTATTTGTAGCTACCATTATTTTATTACTTTCTTCGAGTGCAGGAAGTAATGGTAAGCAATTATCTAATAATTTTAATTGAATGTGTTCATTCAAAGTGTTTATATGAAGTTTCATGAGATATTAACTTTAATGTAGATTTTTTCCATGAATTAAAACCATTTGTTGTCCAACAACTTTTCTCTCCGCCCCGCCAATCATGTTCAGTTAACAATAAACCTTTATCTTCACTTAATTATTATGACATCTAGTCTCACTTCACAGATGTTCCATCTGATATCGTTATAATATACCTTTCAGGTATAAAATAACTACCATTAGTTTTAGGGACATATATATAACCGGCATTAATTTATAATCAGACTAACAAGGTACTTTTTTTAAAACTAGTTTTTTTAAATTGTATGAAAATGTAAAAATTTTGTTTAATATTGCCGGATCATTATTAATAAATAATTTGAACTCAGTGTTATCATTAAAATTTTTCAACTCAAGTGAAGACCCAAGTCCTATGAAAATGAAATATTATAAAATTAAATTATGATAAAAATGCACTAAAAAAGTTAAAAAGTGATTAATTATTTTAGTGTAAACTATTATAATGGTGAGTTGAAACTAATGACTTATATATTATGAAAAAAATTTAATGAAGTTTGTACGAACGTCTAGAGACAGCACAAAAGCAAATATATTATCAATTATTATAATATTATAATCGTTAAAAATTTTTAAATAGCAAAACGTTTTTTTTTAGTTTGAAATTTTTTAATTTTTTTATTAGTTAATTTATTCAAATGAGTACGCACATTGTAATTGTCAATTTAGTAAAAAATGCAATTTAATTAGGCATATAAAATTACACATGGAGGGACGTATCATTACATAACAATGTAAGCAAGAGATGTTCCAAATAAGAAACGTTTAAACTCAACATTCTTGTAATAAATAATTATTATAATAACAGTAAAATAATAATAGGTACCAATATAAAAATGCATATAGGTAGGTACATTGGATAGTTACCATCAGTCTAAAAATTACAATAAATTAATTACTTATCAATTTCTTTATCTTGAATGTTTTCTACATAAACAACTGCTGTACCAACAATATTATGTTCTTGGTCTATGAATAAAATAAAATGTATTTTTTAAACATATATTTAATGATTAAAATGTATATTTAAAGGTTGATTATAGGTTTATTTAGTTAAATTATTTAAAAGTTTAGAATTAGTAGATATACAATTTTATTTAAGCTAAAATACTTTAAAAATTAAAACAGGTACTTAACTACATAAGATACGATGTTTACTAGTTGGGTCTTATTTAGTCTAGTTAGATCCCAGTGTTTTTCATGTAGTTAGTAACCCCTCTGCCACTAGGGGGGAGACTGAATAATTTTTTAGGCAGATTGGGTATTAAATTCTTTGAGAGTTCACCCAACTACCAAATTTAAAAATGTATTTTCAGCATTTTAAAATAGTTTTAATAATATTTATACTATATTATTCATAAGACATTAGTGATCTTATGTACTTACCAAGGACAAACACCCGTTATTCGTCAACATTTAGTTACTACCGACATTTTAAAATATTTAAGTACCAATTAGTATTTTTTATTTAAATTTAATAAAAACTAAAAAAATTGAAAAACCAAATATTTCTACTGAATAAATGGATAAACAATACTAATTAACAAAATATTAGCACAATACATCATATAATTACAAAGTTATTAAACACCAAAATTTCTAAAATAATATTTTACATGTTACAATTTTAAATTAATAAACTATATTACATTATACATACAAATAAATATTTAAAAATAATTGAATCATTTACCTTATTTTCAATTTTTGTAACACAAAGAAACAATAATATTGGTTTGAATATTTACATTATACAAATACATATTAATAATTGCAATTTTTGAAGATGTAAAACATAATAAACATTAAAATATTTAATATAATATATAGATAAAACATTATTATCATTTAAATTTATTTAAATTGTATGAAAATCCTAAGGTAACATAATTATTAAATAAAAATTTCCGATAACAAAATAACAAATATAATTTTTAAAAAGCTTGTTTGAAATGGTTCAAATTATTTTGTCATTAAAACTTAAAATGTATTGTATAATGCAATTATAATTATTTGATTATTCTAGATTGAATATTTAGAAAAATTAAGTCAGTCTTAATGACTTCTAAACCACAATTCAATAGTCTGGTTGAGTTAGTTCAAAATATACATTTACATAGGTAAAATATAAGTATTTTAAAAATTAAAAAGTTAGTTCATATTTAATTATTGTCGTCTTCTAACTGCTTTAGCTTTACGTCTTTCACCAGCAGGAGCTGTTCCCATTGAAAATAATGGTTGGCTAGATCCTGGCATAACTTAATTAAACATATACAAAAATGAGATTAAAAATGTATTAATTTAATGCTAGTATTATTCATAATATTAATTATATTAAACTTACCAGTTGCAGTTATTTGAGGTGATCCAAAATTAAATGATCCTAGAAAGGAAATTTATAAAGTTAAATAATATAATTCACTATTAGATATTATATAATAGGGGTCTCAAACGATATTGATACTTCGATATAATATCGATATCGTTAGATTTTTTAAACTATTTTCGATATCAATATCAAGTATAAATATCATGATATATTCAATAATGATATCTAAATAAATATCGTAGGTATATAGAAAAAATCACTTAATGAGGAATGGGGGATTTATTAAGAATTTGTAATCCTTTTGTAGGATTTTTAATGTGTAGGTAATTTCATGATTCAACGCATTATGCAGTGTGTTAGTATTAGTACTTAGTAATAAATTAATAATTATTGTTATTTATAAGTGAGTGTAAATGCATTGGAGATTAGGTACTCTTTCACTCGAACGCACACGCATATGTTACATATGCGACCACTGTTTAAGGTATAAAACTATAAACTATAAAATATAATATTTATTATTTATTATTTTTATTTACAATGTATAGATCAATTGGACCTAGTATTACATCATTGTAAGTAGCTCATTAGAAATTCTTATTTTATTAATATCCACATATTCTGTAAACCCACTTTTTTTAATTTTTAATTTGTTCATAGAGCACAGTTATGTCATATAAGACATAAGATGAATATGTCATAAGACGAAAGTGTAGAAAAAAAGTAAAAATATAATTCACACAAAATAAATCATATGAAAAGGACATGATGTATTTTTTCATTTTAATTAATTTACTTTATATTCATATTTATGATATTTAAAATTTTTAAATAATAAATTTAAAAAAATTGATCTCTACTTTTTTTTTTT